TGGAGACTCCTGGGGGATGGCCCAGAAAAGGTGCCTAAGTCTGAGAATTCAGACTTGGTTATATTACATATGCATATCTGGACCCCAGTTCTCATGCACATTGGATGATGATGGTGATGATGATGGTAGAATTGCAAGCATCCCCAAAGAATTGGTCGTTGGTTCCGGAATCGCGCATCCTGCCCCTCTTGGTATTAGGTTCCATTTGCCGTGTAAGTGAGCCTGGGCTGCAACTGTGTTTTCAGAAACAGAAGCAGATGGGCTGAGCGTCAGAAAACTAAGGACCTCCCTACCACTTAACTCTGCCATCCATTGGCTCTGTGACCTTGAGCAAGTTATACAAATGCCCTGGGCCCTAGCTTCCTTAACTGTAAAAGAGTGGGCATGAGGAAAGAGATCGGACTGATTCAGTATTTTCCAACATGTAGTACTCACATCACTGGTGACACGCCGGATGAATCTGGCCAGGGATTACAAACCTGTTCTTAAACGGTCAAGTATTTTAGGATTTGCAGGCCAAAAAGGCAAAATCAAGGATCTTATGTAGGTACTTATATAATTATTTAAAATGTAACCATTTAAAAATGTAAAATCATTTTAGCTGCAAGCTATACAAAAATAAGTGGCGGGCTGGATTGATTGTAGTTTGCTAACCCCTGATTTAGGTGGTGCATGGATGAACAATTTTTATTTAAACGCTCATGAATGTTAAAAGAATACTGACTTAAGATTTATACTAATGATAAAAAGTTTTCCTTTGAAATAAACATATTTACAGTAAACAACAAGGGAATTGATTTTTTAAAAATATTTTAGGTAAATAATGGCGCTTGTAGTATATGGATTGAGTGAATTTATCAGCACGGTAGGCAAATGACAGAAGTTTGAGAGCTATCTATGCCTGACGAAAAGCTCTCAAAAGTCATTTGGTATTTTACAAAGATCACCTGGTAAATTGAATTTAACTATATAAAAATTAGGAATTTTTTTGATCAATAGGATACTTACTTTCTTTAAGGATTTTTTTTCTTTTTCCTCGTGGGACTAGATGAAGAATTAGCTGGGGACCATCTTAAAATTCTGTGTTTTTAATATTTCATGACACTTTCCAGTGGTATGACCCTGAGGTGCTGTGTCCCCTTGCAAAAGGGGGGTAAAAACACACGATCTAGTTAACATTATGTCAAGAATCAGAAAAAAAGAAGTTGGGCAAGCAGATTGTTTTAATCCACCAAACCCGGATTCTTTTTTTCTGAACTCTGGGATACGGGACGCGGCAAAGTTGAGACTGGCACAGGCAAGAGTACATGTGGGCAGAGGCTCCGGGCCCCTTCTCCTCTGCCCTCTTCCAAGCACCAACCAGACACGTTTCCCCGAAGCTCCCTGCCCCCGCTGACGTGCCTGGGGAGTAGGGCACAGCAATTAGGATCGTGGGATCTGGCTGCCACCTGGACTCCATCACCTGCGAGCTGGGTGGTTTTGCACTTGTTACCTGGAACCTCAGAACCTCCCTTCCTTCCTTGTCTATGAAATGGAACCGCCACCAGTACCTATTTCAGAGTGTTGTTCTCAGCAGACACAAAGAATGAAGCTAAAGTACCGAAGTACTCAGCATGGAACACAAAGGGAAATATTTGTTACAATTGTCATAGGTCCACACGCTCTTCTCCAAAACCCTGGGTACAGCTGTGCTGCAGAATTCAGAATTCTTCAGGTATCAGGAAGGTGACCGAGTATATACACAGCAGAATACAGAATGCCCCTCGGAGTCCAGGATTGCTCAAACATTAATATTTCTGCAGTGTAGCATAGGAATTGTCATTAAGCGGAATAAATAAAACTATAGTTATAAAACTACATAACATATATCATTATATATGTGTGTGTGTGTGTAAACAGTATATAAAGCTATATAATATCAATTCAGGACTATTTTTTGCCTGGAAATAAGATTGCGCCAAACATACACACACACACACACACACACACGCACACACACACACACACTTACTTTCAGTTTTCAGAGCTTCAGATTTCAGAATTGTGAGTATAATCAAAAATAGCAATTCTTGCCCTGTTTTCAGAAGCATATTGTTCAACATTATAAGTCAGAGTTCAGGGGATCAGGTGTGAGCAAACAGGAGAACTAAATAAAGACGCAGTGTTGCATAATTTGCCACTTTCTAGATATGCTACTGGGGCAATCGTCTCAACCCTTCTGCCTCAGTTTTCTCATCTCTAAAATGGGGATAGATAGGATGTGGCAAGGATTAAATATTGTCATCCGTAGAAAGCACTTAGGGGTTGCCTGGCTCCTAGTGGGCAGCGTCTGTTTGTTATAATTATTAAAAACCAAGTGTCACCCTCCTGGGGGCTCTGGCACAGCGTGACTTCGGGAACCCATCACCCCACACCTCCTCACAGCCTCTCCACTGTTGCAGGGTGATGTTGGACTCAGTGACACACAGCACCTTCCTGCCCAACGCGTCATTCTGCGACCCCCTGATGTCATGGACCGATCTGTTCAGCAATGAGGAGTATTACCCTGCCTTTGAGCATCAGGCAGGTATGTACATCCAGAGGAGCCCATCTGAGGGCAACAGGGACGGGCTTGGAGAGGAGGTGGCATTGGCCTCAGGCACACAAGGCTGTGCGGGGGCCTAGAAATGCCAGTGTTCAGGACAGAGGGCCGGGGAAGGCTGAGGCAGAGGAAGGGCAGCCTCTTGCAGAAAGGAGGCACTTGGACTCCTTGTTGCAGTGTCTTCCCTGTCTGTGGCCCTGGGTAGTGATGGGGTGGGGGGGCTCAGCTAACCTCTCTGAGCCTCATTTTGCTACCAGGTAAAATGGAGGTGATAATGCCAATATCTTTGGGTTATTATAATATTTAAACAATGTAGCAGAAGAGCAGAGCCTGTATGCTGCAGTTGCTGGGCCATCGTGGTTTTACTGAACACTAGCTGTGCGCCAGATCTCATGCCAAGCACCATCTCATCCTTCCAGAAGCCCTATCGGAAGGAACAACTATTATCCCCATTTTATAGATAAAGAAACTGAGGCACAGAGAGGTTAAGTTACTTGTCCAAGGTCTCACAGTGAGTTAAGTTCCATGCAAGTTGACTTCAGCACCTGTCTTATAATATTACACTGTGGTCACTGATATTAATATTATCATTATTCTCTGAGCTTCTATTTCCTCACCCCTAAAACAGGGATGATGAGAACTGCTACAAAGATTGAGGGAGCCAAAGTGTGTAAACTTTATAGCCTGGCACAAAGCAAGTGCTCAGCAAACATGAGTCCCCTCGCTGTCCCCCAGACCTCCCTCCCCACCCTTCCTCCTCTCTCCACCCAGTTTTCTCCACCTGAGAAGGAAGCCTGGGACCTTGTGCACATCCCGTGCCAGAGGGAGGCCAGCTGACCTTTGCCCTAGAAACCCTCTGAGGGCCCCTGTCCTTGAGGAGCTTGGGCGACTGCACAGCACAGCAAACCCGGCTGGCTGGAACGGCAGGTGCACAGCCTGAGCTGCCGTGACGCAAGTGCTAATCAAGCTGTCAGTCCTCACCGAGCCCAAATCCTCTGCAGGAGTCAGAAGGCAGTGTTGAGAGGCAGGAGCATCCGGGAGAGACCATGCCTCCAAGAATGCTGCAAAATAGCCACTATGACAGGGCCAGGGCACACACAGACTCGAGGCGCTTGCCTGCACAATGCAATCCTGTGTCTGCCCCCATCCCACACACACGTGCACCATGAAATCTCTCCCCATAGCTGAAAGCTCTAGGTCATTGCATTTGGACTGGAATCATGCAGATACATCGTGCAATTCTCCTTTAGACCTAAGAATCGCCTCATTTCCCAGAAAGACAGTGAGAAATGTACTCCATCTCTGTCCCTTGAAATTTGGTTAACAGATTAAATCCAAGGAGGAAAATGAAGACATTCAGGTCCCTGTCCCCTCCCCGTGTGTCCCATGATGGTGGGGCCCAGCTCCAGGTGCTTCTCGCTAGTCATGCACAAGGCCAAGACTGCCATCGTGGGAGCCCCCTCCCTGCCTATTCCGCCGGCTGGCAGTTGGGGTGGCAGTGGGCGGGGATGGCCTCAACCACCTGCCCTGAGCAATGCCTGGGCATCGGAGCAGCAGCCCTGCACTCATGAAGAGCTCGAATGCGCTAAATGTGAAGTCGCCTTTGGCACTTACTAGCTGCGCCGTCGTAACCTCCCGTGCCCCAGTTTTCGCATCTGTAAAATCGGGATGGCAGCAATGCCTACCTTGTAGAGTTGTTACGGGAATGAAATGAGTTGATATATGGGGAGCGTTTGGGGCACAGTCTGGCACATGGCAAAGCACACGAAAGTGCTTTAAATAGTAAAGGATTAGTGTCAGTTTGGGGGGACGAACAAGTTCTGGAGCCAGATGGTGAGGATGGCTGCACAACTGTGTGAATGTACTTAGTGCTGCTGAACTTTACCCTTAAAAAGAGTTAAAATGGTAAGTTTTATATTATGTACATTTTACCACAATTAAATAAAATGAAGAGTTAACAGGAGGGATGGCCAGTGGGGCTGCCAGATCGCTTAAATCCGACCTAGTCTTGGATACACAGATACAGCTTTCTCCTGGCAGAGGTCTCTGCATTAGCAACAGTGTCATGAAAGTTGGACCAGGTCATTGCTAGGATTCCTTCCAGAAGCTTCTCTGATTCCAGCATCAGGCAACATCAAAGAAATAGCATTCTCTTCCCAGTACCCATTGAGAGACTAGAAATTCCCACCGAGGCATGAGGCCAGTGAAAATAAAACATCCCTCAGGAGTGTCCCAGGTTCCTAACGTTCCCTGTGGGATGAGCCAGGCTTTTGGGTAGCCACCTGGCCCCCTGGATTTCAGTAGAAGCCGAATATCTCTGACCTCCCAAAGGTTGAAGGTGGGTGAGAAATGTTCGCCTTGAGTGAGTGCCTCTCTCAGAGCTGCCTGGGCACCCGGCGAGCCTCACAGTCCCCAGCCCCCCTCAGCATCCCTCCGGTGGGAGGAACAGCCAGAGGGCCCTTCTGTCCTTTTCCAGCAAGGACACTGCCACCCAGAGAGGCGCATCGGCTCTGAGTTTCTGCAAAAGCCCTCTCTGTAAGGGAGGCGTCAGGGGACAGCTAGGTTTGCCCCTGGACACTGCTCTGCCAACCTTCCCTGCTCAGTGACCAGCGGGCTTGGTGGCATCTCTCCTGAGGTCCTTGCCCGCCTCCCGGGAAACTCCGTCCTGAATTCAGGGCCTCCCTCGGGATTGTCATCCTGTTCATCCAGGTTCATCTGCTGGCACTGCCTCTTACCAGCCATGGGACCTCCAGCAGGTTTTTGAGATATGCTTTGCTCCACTGAAACAGAATCCACCTCCCAGAGTTGGGAGGATTGAATGAGATTTAGTGTAAAAAGTGTTTAGCAAAGTGCCTGGCACGTGGGAAGGGCTCGCGGTAGCCAGGAACACCTCCTGACCCCCAGCTAGGTGGAAAAACAGCCTTCTCCCTCCTCTCTTCATTTTTCGTATTGAACAAAAGTAACACGAGTCTCAATCTCAGGCTTCCCAATTCAGATCGTTTGACAGCTTAGATACTTGAGACCAAAGGGAGGGAAAAGGAAAACGAAAGGATGTGCCCTCCAGACAGATGATGGAGGGGCGGGGAGGTATACTCAGCCTGTTTAGGAAAACCAGCTGTTCACAAAAACTTTCCAAACGGCTTTAGCAGCTGTGGCTGCCCCTGTGCCCTGATGTGCTCACCACAAAGGCCTCTGCCCCGCCCTCTGAGGCAGGACTTCTGCTTGGCTGCACTCAGGCTGAAGGTGGATGCTCACGATTGCAAAATATTCTATAATTTCATTAACCCACCTTGGCCTTGCCTTCACCTTTTTCAGAATAAGGGATTATGAATATCGGAAAATATATCCAAGTGCAGTGGGGGGCTGCGTGTATTTCACATGCATATGGTATTTTTAAAAGATTATTTCTCCAATCAAGTTCCAGCAGCCAACCTCTGACAAGTCATTTGGTATCCTGACCCCACCCCTCCTTTCCTTCTGGAGCACCTTCCTAAACTCCATGTACCACCCGTGTCTACCCTGACTGCCAAGGTGGCCATGTCAGCACACCATACCTGGTTCGCTTTGGAATCTTGCTGATACTTTGTCTGCAGCAGAGGTTTCTAGAATGGGGTTCCCGATAAGCTCTAGGGGTTTCCAGGAGGTCCCTTAAGGACCACCAGAGAAGAGAGCTGTGGGGACAGTTGCAAAGATCAGGCTCCAGCTCTCCCCCTCCACCCCCACCCTCAAGCAGGTTCCTCCACTTTAACTCTGAAGACAGTAGAGCACAGTGGTTATTAAGGCTTGGCTGTAGAATACACCTATGCAACCTACTCCTAGCTCCGCCACTTACTTGTCATGCTACCTTGAGAAGGGTCACACACACACACACACATACACACATTGGCCTTACTTTCTTCTTTTGTTAAATGGGCAACATGATATAGGACCTCATAGCGTTGTGTTGAGGACAACACGAGAAAACACAAAGCATTTAGCACGGTGACTGGCACATGCATACAAAGTGCTCAATAAATACGCCAGCTATTATTAGGAAATGTGAGATTTTATCTGAAGAAAGAGCTTTTTGTTAAAAACAAAAAGGTGCTAACCCCACTGATCTTGGGTATTAACGTCCAGAAATCCCGGGAAAGAGGCATTTGGATCCCCCGTGGGCTTTTCTAAGCAAGATCCATGCGCTAGGCATAGAAGTTTGAGAGTAAAAGCAAAGCAAAGAGTCGAAGAACTTCTAAACCGAAACCAGATAAGCAAATACAATGTCATCTGAAAGCCTGAGGTGAGCCCTGTGGCAGAGGCCACACGCCAGGAGGACTCACCATTCATTAGCCACTTCTAGCCCATCCTACATGCACCCGAACCTCCCAGGCCACAGAGACAGGACCACTCAGGGCGGGGCTGGCTCTCTCTGCCCTCTCCTAACGCCACACACCCAAGGCCATGGCCCTTTGCGGATACCCAACCTGGCCTTCTCTTTCCCGGTCCAGTTTCCTGCATGGATCCTGGGATTTGCTTTTTCATCTCAGGGTCTAAATCATCCCACAGGCTAGGCTGGGAAGCCAGGAAGGGCATTGGTTGGTGCTACGCTGGCTCTGGGAGGAAACCTGGAAGCAATTTATCATTTCAGGTTTTCCCTCGTAAAGCCCTTCCTTCCAGTGACAAAGCTGCAACTGACAGGGCCCCTGCTGCCCGGTTCATTCCCCACCTCTCTTCGGTGCTGCCCCAGGCAAAACACTTTCCCAGCTCCCCATGCTAGTAAATCGTGCTAATTATGGCCCGAAGTTGTCTAGCCCAGGCCTCCTCTGACCCAGACTGTCTGTCTCGCCCTAGCCAAGCCCTGAGCTGGCTTTGTTCTTATTCCTCAGCTAGGCTAAGGAAGGCCTCATTTCCCTGAGAAAAAATGTAGTCCCAAATAATAACTAATAACAGACGACTTACACTGGAAGCTTACTGTTGTTCAGATACTGTTCCTTATGTGCATTGCTACT